GCAGGCTGAGCAGAGGGGTGTAGGAGCGGGTGGGCGGGGCAGGCTAGGCCAGCAGAATAACAGCATTTGTTAGGCAGCAACAAGTGCATGTCGTCTTCCCCCCCCCCCCCCCAGCCTCAGCTGGGAGAGGACGGGAAGGTGTGTCAACCACAGAAAGCTGCCTGCCGGTCTTATGAAGGTGGTGCTTGTACTTCTGCACACCTCTCCTACACAGGGCTGCACTGACTATAGGCAGCTGGCCAGACTTTGCACTACAGCAGCGGTTCTCAGCCTTCCTGATGCTGCAACCCTTGAATACAGTTCCTCATGCTGTGGTGACCCCCAACCGTAAAATGATTTCGTTGCTACTTCATAACTGTAAATTTGCTACTGTTATGAATTGCAGTGAAATATCTGATATGCAGGATGTCTGATGTGTGACCCCTGGTTTCCAGGCGTGAGGGTTCCCAGCAGTGACCTATTTCTTCCTTAATTTCCTTCACGATACCAAATTGTCACTGCAGGAGAACTGCTAGACAAAGGGGTGTGTTTAGCCCCAAACTGGCAGAGCCAGGGCCCAGTTTGGGGCTAGGGGCTAGCATTCTTTCTTTCTCTCAGCACCCTCCAGAGCTAAGGGAAAGCTGTGGGGTTTGCCGTTAGTCATTCTGGGACTTCAGCCATATAAGAAAGGAACGTGAACGCTACCAGGTGTGGTGGCACATACCCATAATCCCAGCTCTCAGGCAACTGAGGCAGTGTGGAGAGTACCAGGTTAGCCTGGGCTAATATATAGTAAGACTGCCTCAAAGGGGGGAAAAATGAAAAAAAATGATGTTATATTCAAGTGTTTTGAAGACCTAGGAAGTAAGAGTCTGACCTTCTCTGAATGAAATGAATCCAGCTTGAGTCAAGAGCTTAAGACATTTAAAAGCTTGAGCAAAGGAGGCTGAGGCTAAGGCCAGAGGTCTGGGGCCAAGCATTTTGCTTTTCATCCCAGACAGACAGAGCTATAGCACTGCACAAGCCATCTAAGAAGGACACATTGCTCCAGTGACCTGGACACCCACCTAAACAGCAGACCTTTAGAGGTGGCTCCTTATCTAGCCCTCACGCACCCCTCCAGCCTCCTGTTCCTCTTCTCATACCCAGCTCCCTCCTCTCTTCTTACCACCAAGGGGCAGGTGTCTGCTGTGGGTGTCTGGGGAATTCTAAAAGAGCATCACAATACCTTTCTTAGGACCTCCATAGAAGAGGCCAGTCCACACAGTCGGCTAGGGTAAAGCTCTGGGGGCTGTTCGCAGGACTGGCCACCCACTTCTTTTGTGCACTTTATCTTTTTTCACTGTTAAGAAATGATAGCAGGCCAGCACGCCTGTCATCCCAGCCCTTGGGAGGCAGAGGCAGGAGGATGTGTAGCTCAAGGCCAGCCTGGGCTACAGAGCAAAACCCTGTCTCTAAACCACGGCGGGCCAGCAGGATGGCTCAGGAAGTAAGACACACTTGCCACCGAGCTTGACAGCTTGAGCTCGATCCTCTGAACACATGTAGTTAGAGGAGAAAACTGACTCCCACAGGTTGTCTCTGATACACACACGCGCGCGCGCAGACATACACACACACACACACACACACACACACACTAAACTTAAAAAAAAAAAAAAAAAAAGACACCCTTAATCCCGGTACTCGGGAGTCAGGCAGGAGGATCTCTGAGTTTGAGGCCAGCCTGGCCTATATGGTGAGGTTCAGGACAGCCAGGGCTATGTAGAGACCCTGGAAGGCAGTCAGTGTGGCAGAGCATTCTGGGGTAGAGATCTCTTTTGAATGAACAGAGGAATGACCGAGTCTGGCGTTGACACATGTAATAACTTTCCACCAAGCTTTAAATTCCAGGTTGTCATCAACGGCCGAGAGTTTCCCCCAGCTGAAGCCGGCAGCAAGAAGGTGGCCAAGCAGGATGCAGCAGTGAAAGCCATGGCCATTCTGCTGCGGGAGGCCAAAGCTCAAGACGGTGGGACACCAGAAGAACTGTCCCACTGTCCCATGGAAGAAGACTCGGAGAAGGCAGGTGTTTCCTCCCTGGGGCCAGCGACCCTTGGCTGACCCTTGGCTGTTGTGTGTCAGGGTCTGACAGACTCTGGAAGCTGTCCTGGCTCACATAGTCAACACTCCTGACGCAGCAGCCCTGCCGTCCTCCCTGCCCTCCCGTCCTCCCTGCCCTCCCGTCCTCCCTGCCCTCCCGTCCTCCCTGCCCTCCCCTCTTAGCCAGCTCTCCCTCTCCCGTCCTGGTCTGATTGTATTTGCAGAATGTCGGGGTTGAAAGAACCAAATATTAGTCAGGGTTCTCGGGGAAACAGAACTCACAGAACTAATCATGGAAAGAGGGTTTCCTAGCTAGGCACACGGTATGATCAGAGCGCTCTAATGAAGCCGGCTCACAGCCGGGAGCTGAAAACTGGTAGCTGCTGAGTCCCTGAGGCTGAGTGCCTTGGCAGTGCCAACGTGGCACTGAAGGCCTGAGCCGTTCCTCTTGGAGAGCTGCTCTGATGTCCAGAAAAGCCAGTGTGATATCAGGGAGGGAGGCAGCAGCAACCATACCGATGAACTCGAACCATACCGCAGTGTGAGTGGAGGCCAGGCTACAGAAAAACAGCTTTTATTGCCCGTGTCCTTTTGTCTGGACTGTTGGCATTTAGGGTAGTCTCCTCATGTCGGCTAAGCTATCAAGACAATCCCTCAGACATGCCCACAGGCCAGTCTGACCCAGACAGCACCTCACTGAGGCTCCTTGCCTTTGGTTTTGAGCTGTGTCAGGTTGGCAGTTAAAACTGACCATCACAGACCTCGAATCCACTCTCCTCTCTTAGAAGGTAAAGTCACCCCTTCCTGTGCCCACAGCTTCTCCTTTGGAAGGCCTCTCCTAACATTTAGTTGTCTCAGTCTGTAATTGCAGCATTTGGCAGGCTGAGGCAGGAGGATTGCCTTGAGGTCAAGGCCAGCCTGGACTATCGGAAGACATTGTTTCAAAAGAAACCAGAGGGAGAGATAAAGTCTCAACGGCCCGCTGCTCCTTGCTCTGGTGATCTGATGAATGTTGTCTTGTGTTTTCTTCTTTTCTCCAGCCAGCAGAGTCCCAGCCCCCCAGCTCCTCAACAACATCCTTTTTCAATGGGAAGAGCCCAGTTACCACGCTGCTTGAGTGTATGCACAAACTAGGGAACGCCTGTGAATTTCGCCTCCTGTCCAAAGAAGGCCCTGCCCATGACCCCAAGTATGTCTTACGTGTGGTGTCTCCTGTGGAGGTCTCCCCAAAGTAGGAAAGACACTCCCCTTGCAGCCTCGGAGATGAGAAGTCGTTCCTCTTTATGGTCTCTCCTGTTGCAGTCTGGAAAGGGGCCTTCAGGGCCTGGCTGCTGCTATGAAGCAGAGAATCTGGGATTAGGAGTTCGAAGGGACCGAGGACTAGGTAGGGTCACAGCGTGGACAGCGTGGCGGTCACTGTTGGGACAGAAAGGTTGAGGATCTGGGCATGCCTTAGCGGCTCCCTGCTTGGGGGTTCTGGCACACACTTGTTCAGAAGAAGGCTTCCTGGCGGGTGTGAGGAGTGGCCCTTGCATGTTGAGTGGTTAGCCAGGTCAGTAGACACTGGGGGCAGTGGGTGGGCAGGGCACACTAGCTATCCAAGGCCACGGTTACTACACAGAGGTGATGTGTGTAAGAGCTACGCGTTGTGGAGGATGGCAGCCTGACGGGGCGAGGCAGATCCCCCAGCCCAGCCATTGTGATCCTTGCCCGTCGTTTCCTCTAAGGTTCCAGTACTGTGTGGCCGTGGGAGCCCAGACCTTCCCCACTGTGAGTGCCCCCAGCAAGAAAGTAGCAAAGCAGATGGCCGCAGAGGAAGCCATGAAGGCTCTGCAGGAGGAGGCAGCCAATTCAGCTGATGACCAGGTGGGGCACTGTCCTGCTCAAGTTACAGGTCAACTGTTACTGCGTGGGCAGATGAGGGTTGTCTTGAGTCCCTCTGAGTTTTCTTTCTGACATGTTCCTCTTCGGCCAATTCTCCCTTAGTCTGGAGGTGCGAACTCGGAATCTCTTGATGAGTCTGTGGCACCCAACAAGATCAGGAGGATTGGTGAGCTCGTCAGGTACCTGAACACCAACCCCGTGGGCGGCCTGTTAGAGTATGCTCGCTCCCATGGCTTCGCTGCTGAGTTCAAGTTGATCGACCAGTCCGGACCACCTCACGAACCCAAGTGAGTGTCATAGTCCTGGCAACAACCGTGTATCAGCGGGGGAGGGTGGCTGGTAACCTCAGGGTAAGAAGTGATGCACGTTAACTCTGACTAATAGAGGGCAGGTTGTCTGCACAGCCTAGTGAAGACATTAGGTCAGCCATCTTGAGAATCCAGTCACTGGTGCAGTGAGTGTGAGCCTTTCAGTTTTAGGAGCTAATTTTAGCTTCATTCAAAATCATTCAAATGGTTGAAAAAGCATTCAGTGAAAAGTTGGATTTCTATCCTTTTCATCCCTTTTCAAGTACCCTTCTGTAACCATTTTTATTCTATGTGTGGATGTTTTGTTTGCATGTGTGTCTGTACCGTGTGTTCTCAGTGCCCATGGAGGCTAAAAGGGGCCAGATTCCTAGGACTGGAGTTACAGATGTTAGTGAGCTGTCATAGGGTGCTGGGAATCAAACCCAGAGCCTTTGGAGGAACCATCTCTCTAGCCCTCCCATATCCAATTTTTTTTTTTTAATTTTAAAAAGTAACTAAGGAGGAAAATCTCACAAAAATCACATGGGGCAGGGGCACTAGGGAGAATCAGTCGTTAGGAGCACTAGTGGCTCTTGCAGAGCACCCAGGTTTGGCTCCCAGCACCCACAGGGTGGCTCACAGCTATCTGTAACTCCAGTTCCAGGGCATCTGACACCCACTTCTGGCCTCCATGGACACTAGGCACACACTTGGTACACTTTCATCCATGTGGGCACACATCCAGTGTGTGTGCGTGTGTTTGTGTGAGTGTGTGTGTGTGTATGTGTGTGTAAATTCTAATTTTTTTAATTACCTTTTGGACCACCAAGATGGCACATTGAGTAAGGGTACCAACCTGATGACCTGAATTCTATCCTTAGGACCCAGAGAGAGAGACTGATCTCCACAGATTGTCTCTGGGCACCACACATGCACCATATGTGTGTGCCTCCACTAACAAAAAAAAACAAAACTTATAATTAAAACTATTATCTTGCTATTTTAAATTTGTCTTTTTTTAGTAGTGCTGTCCTTGATGTTATCACGTCCATATGTATTTGCATTTCATTGAATTGCCTCATTTGACATGCCCCATTTTCTTTTAGAGTGTTACTCTTTCGTCTTCTAGAGCTTTTAAAACAATAAAAAACATTAGCCCTTTGATGATCATAACCCAGTTAAGAGCCCCCAAACTAACGGAGCCCAGAAGAGTTCCCGAGCACCCCCACTTCAGGGTACCTTTGTCCTGTGTGGAAGCTGGCTGGGAAAGAGGACATGGCCTCTTGTCTCTCCCTACAGCCAGCCTCCCTTCCTTAAGCCTGGTCACAGGATAGTGGGATCGTCCTTGGATTCCTGGAAATTCAGTCATTCACCTGGGACATACGAACTTAGGAGCTGGGATTGAAGATGTGAGGGTGCAGCTGCCTTGGGACTGTAGCCGCGTTGGACCTGCCGTGCGGCTGTCCTGGGCAGGCAGATGCTGATTCAGCAGCTATTTCATTTCCATCTCATCTGGCCTTTCCTTTGTGTGAATTATGCTGCATCCACTCTTCCCTCTCTTTCTTGTGACCTTAACCAACGTGTAGGCTTTTACATGTTGTCTAAATGCTGGAAAGTGCTGACGGTGTCTCTCCCACAGACCTCTCAGAGCTCCGGATCCCTGTATCCGGTTGCATGCATTCACTCCTGATCAGATAGACACCTGCATGACTTGTCCTAGGCAGAGATCCAAGACTCAGGATCTCAGTAAACAGTGCCACTGCTTCCCACCCTCAAGTCTGTCTTAGGTAGGATGTCTAGTGCTGATAAACACCATGACCAAAAGCAGCAGCTTCCACTTAGTCCGTTGTTGACGGAAGTCAGGTGGCTGAAAGCTCAGTCTGCTTTCCTATACAGCACTGTCCACAGTGGGTCAGGCCCCCCCACGTGGATCTTTAATCAGGAAAATGCCCTGCAGACTTCCCTACAGGCAGTCTAGATGGAGGCATTTTCTTAGTTGAGGTTCTTCTTCCTAGATAGCTGGAACTTGTGTGAAGTTGGGGAAAAACCCCAGGATACTTACGCCTTCCTTTCCCACTAAACAGTCCCTGAGTTCTGCTGGGTACATTTAGTTTCTGGCGAAGTTCCCTCTGCTTTTCACTTTGGTGTTAGTACCTGGTCTAAGCCAGCGTCTTCTGCCATCTGGTACATCCTAACTGGTTTCTGCCGTGTTTACTTCACACTTGTGTGTAGAGCCCCTTTTGTTAGCATAGTGGCCTGCAGTCACTGGGGAAGTGTGAGATCACATTTGCTAAGTCTTGTGGAAGGGCTGGACTGCCCTGAATAAGGATCTGTTGTGACCCAGCTTCACTCCCTAGGGGAGGATTCCTCCCAAGACGTGATGCTCAGGCATCACTTACGATGGTTGAGAGGAAACAAAGGATTCAGGACAGGAGACAGATAGCCTGTGTCCATTGGTACTGCATCTATCAATTTAACCAAGTGTAGACTAGATTTCCTTTTAATTACACCTGGGTTTAGTCTTAAGCAACATCCCCCCACACTGATAGTGTCTGTACTGAACATATGCAGGTACTTACTGTTATTCCCTGAACCAGATAAGGTAACCTTCTTATATAGTACATCCACCACATTGTGTATTGTAAGTTATTAGAGATGATGGAGGCACGCAGCAGAATGTGCATGGCTTATTTGCAAATCCTGTGCTGTTTTATTTCAAGAACTTGAGTGTTCTGTGAGTCTGGTGTCCTTGGGGATCCTAGAACCATCTCCCTTGGACACCCAGGGGCAGCTGTGCGTCTCTAGTCCTGCGGTGGGAGGACAGAGCTAGTAAAGGGACTGAGAGATGGTCTGGTGGCTGAGCAGGGAGTAAGGAGAGGGCAAGCCTGTGCCAGCTGTTTGCCGAGAGGGCCTGCCTTGTAGGTTGTTGCTTTACCACAGAAGCAGTAGGACGTCGTGAAGGTCTGAGTGGAGCATCAGTGGTCCTCTCCACATTCTTGTCCTTTATTAACGCTTTCCTGACAATTTTCGTTTTCTCCTTTGAGAGTACTTTTCCAGACCTTTGCTTCAGATTCCACCGGAATCACTGTTGGCACTCTAAACTGGTAACTCCCTTCCCACTTGAGAGAACAAAGACTTGATCTTCCCCAGACCAGACCTGCCTACCTTGCCTCTGTCGGGAAGGATGAAGGAAGCATCTTTCCTCCCCTGTGTGTGTGAGGACCGGTTGTCTCCTCATCTGCTCCCCCTTGCCTCTCTTTTGCAGCCTGTCTCGGCTTACTGACCTCAGCCCGTCCACAAACCCTTACCCATCTTTGAGAGCCTGAGTCCAGACCTTGCTTCCCTCCAGGCTCTACCCCATTTCTCTGCTGCTCTAGACCCCAGGCCTCTCAAAAGGGCCGTTTATAGTCACTGGTGTGCTTTCCACTCCCCCTGAGGGCTGGAGAGATCGCTCGGCCGTTAAGAGTGCAGACTGCTCCTGCAGAGGACCCTAGTTCCCAGTTCAGTTCCTAGCACCCACAGGGCAGCTCAAAACCACCTGACTCCAGCTCCCGGGGGACCCAGCACCCTCTTCTGGCCTTCCCAGGCACTGCACAGATGTGTATACACAATTGAAAATAAAAATAAAATCTCAACTTCTGCTAAAAAGCCTAACCGCTAGCTGAAGTATTACTGGGCATTTGAAATGTGGCACCAGGGTCTGAATTAATCATAAATCTAATCTTTTAGTTCACTTAAAATCTGGTAGCCTCATGTGGTTTGTAGCTTTCATATTAGCAAAGCACAGCTCTAAAGGATTCTAATTTCATAATTAACAAGCTTAATCACATTCTGTTGTACATACACAAAAGTATGTGTGTATAGTGCTCATCCTTTCCAAAGACACAATGGCCACAAAATCCTCCTGGTCTCCAGAGGCAGAGGCCCTACAGTTTTCCCTGCTCACCCAGACCTTCTGCTGCCCTCACGTATTCTGGATTTTGCCCACTGGCTGGCAGAGACCTGCCAGCCAGAGACCTGCCAGCATGGGCAGAGAAAGGAACAGAGGCATTCAGCTGCTTCGTAACTGAAGGACAGTGGGAAGGTCAGTGTGGATGGCAGAGACTGGGCTGTGCCTCTGAGGCACCATTGGATTATCCAAAGCTAAGTTTGCATTGGGAGCTGACTGAAAGCTAGGATTCCAGAAAGCTGGTATGTTTCCAGGCTTCTGCGCTCTAGCTTCGCTCTGGATTTGTGGGAGCCTGCCTCAGGAACAGTGGGGACCCCCTCCCTACTTCAGAGCCCATGGTCCATTTCCTCCCTCCCTCCCTCCCCCAGTCCCCCCATAGCTGTCTCCAGCCTTCTGGAAATGGACAAATAATTCCTTTCGAAAGCTTGACTCCTTGGCCTAAGGCAGACTGCAGTCACCTTCCAAGGTTGTCAGGAGGTATACAGGAAACAAAATTGGAGACTCTAAAATTCGACAGTATTAGGAATACAGCTGAGTGGAGAGCGCTTGGTTGGCCTCCGTGGGGCCCCAGTCTTGGGGTGGGAGAATCAGACCGTGCTAAATTCCTGGGTATTTCTACTTGAGAGAATAAACCTTTCTCGTTTGTGTGTACATGGTTGGGGGGCGGGTGCTGACGTCATTCCTCAGTCACCGTCTGTTTTTCTGCTTTTGTATTTTTGTTTTTAAATTTGGAGGCAGGGCCTCTCACTTGGCCTGGAGCTGGCTGACTAGGTTAGGCTAACTAGTCAGCCAGCCCCAGGGATCCTGGCCTCGCCTTGTTGTTGGAGTCGCAAGCGTGCTGCCCCACCGTGCCAAGCTTTTTTTGTGGTGGAGGCGGGGATAGAACTCGGGTTCTTGTGCTTGCAAAGCAAGTACTTTACCAACTGAACCATCTTCCCAGCCTGTAAAGAAATCTTTTCCAATACTCTCTCATCTTCCCTTGTAATAAGGAGCCTTTGCAGGTAACAATACAGACAGAATTTAATAAGATTGTATGAATTTTATAGTCACTTCCAGTTTATGGGAAGTGGCACTGTTTTCCCATTTATGGTAATGAAATGAAATTTCCTTTTAAAATATGTTTATAGTTCTGATAGGTCTGGTTAGAGGAAAAACTAAGAAATAGTGCAGCTGACGTCTGGATAGCAAACAAACAAAAAAACACGTAATTCATGAAGGACTGAAATCTGAGGATTGCCCCCGAGTGAGACCAGCAGGTCTTTGTGTTTGCACGAGTGGCCTCATTCTAAGGAAAACCACCAGCCTTCCCTCCGTGGCCGTCGGGGGCTGCCACTGCTTGTCTTCATTCTCATTCTCATTCTCATCCCAAAGGTTTGTTTACCAAGCGAAAGTTGGGGGCCGCTGGTTTCCAGCCGTGTGTGCGCACAGCAAGAAACAAGGCAAGCAAGACGCAGCGGACGCAGCCCTCCGAGTCTTGATCGGGGAAAGCGAGAAGGCAGAGCAGTTGGGTTTCGCAGAGGTAACCCCAGTGACAGGGGCCAGTCTCAGAAGAACTATGCTCCTCCTTTCCAGGTCCCCAGACGCACATCCAAAGACAGTTAAGACATCTGCTTTTGGTGCTCTCTTTTGGGGGTGGGGGGTGGGGTTCTGCTTGCTCCTCCCCAGAGAAGTCGGCTCTTCACTGTGCCGTAATTACCCCTAGGCTTCAGTCTTGGTCTCAGTAGAGTGCATGTCTGGGGTGCTAGATGTGGAATGGGAAAGGATGGCTCCCGTGCCAGCAGACACACAGGACGCAGGCAGAGCTCTGGGGCCTTACAGCGCGCCTGTCCCACAGCTTCCTCTCACTGGGAGCACCGTCCACGACCAGATAGCTATGCTGAGCCACCGCTGCTTCAACGCCCTCACCAACAGCTTCCAGCCCTCCCTGCTCGGCCGCAAGATCCTGGCCGCCATTGTCATGAAGAGAGACCCTGAGGACATGGGTGTTGTCGTCAGTTTGGGGACAGGTGAGTGCACCCTGAGACATTGACCTCTGGATGAGAAGCAGGTCCTTTTCAGCCTTCCTGGAGTCATTGTGAGCAAGTCCAAAGGTGAGGACAAAGAACTCCACATAGGTTGAATGTCTTCAAAGTTGCTGACACGATGCTCAAAACATCTTTGAGTTGGATCTGTTAAGATTTTTTTAGTTAAGGCCGGGCGGTGGTGGCGCACGCCTTTAATCCCAGCACTTGGGAGGCAGAGCCAGGCGGATCTCTGTGAGTTCGAGGCCAACCTGGTCTCCAAAGTGAGTTCCAGGAAAGGCGCAAAGCTACACAGAGAAACCCTGTCTCGAAAAACCAAAAGATTTTTTTAGTTAACTGCTTAGCAGTAAACACTACAAAAATATCCCAGAGTCTCTGAAGTCTGACTCTGCCGCCCCCCCCCCCCCCCCCCCCCCCATTTCAACTAAGGAGCACTCAGGTTTCTGTTCATTTTAACTGCAGTCAGCTCAGATTTGGAATGAGTTTGGGGTTTGGCTGGGATTTGTTTTGGCTTTGAGGCAGGGTGGCCCAGGCTAGCCTCAAACACCCCACCCTCCTACTTCAGCCTTTCAAGTGCTGAGGTTATAGGCATGCACTGTGCTGCCAGGGATGGGTTTTTCTCTAAGTGAAAGAACACAGAGTCCAGAGTCGGTCAGCCCAAGGCCATCCTGCCTTTAAAGTCTTCACCTGCTTCACCAGCACCCTGATCGCTCCGGGTTTCTTTTGGTGACCTTCCCAGGGAATCGCTGTGTGAAAGGGGACTCTCTCAGCCTGAAGGGAGAGACAGTCAATGACTGCCATGCGGAAATCATCTCCCGGAGGGGCTTCATCAGGTGAGCAAGGTGGCCGAAGCCATTTAGCTGTCGTGGGGCCCTCCCGACTCCCAGTCCACTCATCTTGAAACCCCAGCAGATTGTCAGCAGTCAGGCCCTTTTGTGACCTGGCTGCATCTTTTCAAAACAAAGTGACCTCTGCGTCCTCAGGCCTTAGGAACGAAGCAGCCTCTCCTTCTATGTGAGAACGTGTCCTCAACCTCTGTCCCTGCCGGCTGTCTTCTCGGGGTCGCCTTTAATTTATGACGGGCAAGAGTCGGGGAGAAGCAGCAGCTAGCCCTGTTAGGTCTTGAGTCCGTGTATTCTACCTGGGATCCTGTATGGCTGCCCCAAAGGCTACCTCTTATGAAGTGCAGAGGTCTCCTGCAGAGAACTTACCAGTTCCTCTTCCACTTGAGAGGCTGAAAGCCATGTACCATGGAGGCCTCGCCTTACCTGGACTCAAACCAAGGGCAGAGTGTGGAGGTGTGTTCTGCTCTGCCCAGACTCGCACTGCCTCCTAGCCAGCTTTCTTTTGGTAGGTTTCTCTACAGTGAGCTCATGAAGTATAACCAGCATACTGCCAAGAACAGCATATTTGAGCTTGCCAGGGGAGGAGAGAAGCTCCAGATAAAAAAGACAGTTTCTTTTCATCTCTACATCAGGTCTGTACCCCTGGCTTGGCTGTCCCCATGTTCCTCTGGCTCTAAGCCCCGACCTTGTGCTGTAAGCCATGTCTGCGCTGTGTCTGAGGTGCATGCCCAGATGGCAGAGGCATTCCTGCTGCCCACTACCCAGCTGGGCTTAAGGAAGTACATCCCTGGCTTGCATGACAAGTGGCTTCAAGACCCATGAGTGGGAGGGAGATCCATGGGGGGGTCTTAACTAACGCCATTGTCGGCAGCACGGCGCCGTGTGGAGATGGGGCCCTCTTTGACAAGTCCTGCAGTGACCGGGCTGTGGAAAGCACAGAATCCCGCCATTACCCTGTCTTTGAAAACCCCAAGCAAGGCAAGCTTCGGACCAAGGTGGAGAATGGTGAGTGACAGGCGACCTCCCAAGACCACCAGTGGGCAGCAAGGCAGCATGTCCATGGGGGAGGGCAGGTTCTGTGTGGAAGCCTGTAGCCTGGGAGAGCAGGGCATCTCCAGGCTGCTTAGGAGGCAGAGGGGTCCGTGGAGCCCCAGGAAGAGTCCAGCTAAACATAAAATGAGAGCCGCCCCTGTGTCAGTGGTCATGGGAACGAGGTGTGCAGAAACAGAGAGAATGGATGGGAGGCGGGGTCCCCTGAGCTGACACGTGTGATGCCAGCGTCCTGAGCTCCTGCTGAGGCTCTGCCCTGCCCTCCAGAGTCCTCTCTTCTGTCAGCCAGTGTCTCCTCACATCGCTCCTATCCCTTCACACCTCACTGTCATCCAGATGGTCCTCAGACAGTAATCAGGTCCTTTCCCCAAAGTGTGAACACAGCCACCATACAACCCATGCTCTGCTCCCAGAGGTTCACCTAAGGAGTGAGGTGTCTGTCCACAGAAACACATGAACAGGCGTGCTTATGGTAACAGTCCCAGTGGCTAGAGTGGACTGAACACAGGTACCCGCACCCGGATAAATGGCTAAGTAAAATGTGATCTATCCATACGATGGGATATTATCTGCCATAGAAAGAAATAAAGACCTGAGACCTTGAAAACATGCTAGCTGAAAAACGTCACAGAAGAATATTTGTCATATGATTTCATGTCCTAAAGGTGCAGAGTAGACAGACCCACAGACAGATCAGGAGCTGGGAGTTGCCAGGCAAGGGACTTGCTGGTGTAAAAGGCTTCTTTGTAAGGTGACATGATGCTCAACAACTGATTGTAATGACGGAGCAGGTGTGAAAACACTTGTGTGTTTTAAGTGGGTGGATTGCGTGGTATGGCATATGAATTGTAGCTCCATACAGCTGTTCTGAAACAATACCAAACCAGCTGGGCATGCAGCACACTCCTAGACTTGGGAGGCTAAAGCTGGAGGATCAAACGTTTGTGCTTGGGGTATACAGCAAAACTGTCTCAAAAAAACCCCAAGGTTTGGGCGGTGGCCTGGTTGCTAACCTGTCTGCTGTGCTATAGCACAGAGACTTGAATTCTGATATGCAGACCCCAACCTCGGCACTGTAAAATATGTGCAGTCAATGGCCTGTACCTCAGGAGTGCACATAGTGTGCCCGGGATGTGGTTTGGTCCAGTGGCCTTCGTTGGTCCAACTCAAGTCTTTCATGCAGGGGAAGGCACAATTCCTGTGGAGTCCAGTGACATTGTACCCACGTGGGATGGCATCCGGCTTGGGGAAAGACTCCGTACCATGTCCTGTAGTGACAAAATTCTACGCTGGAACGTGCTGGGCCTGCAAGGGGCACTGTTGACTCACTTCCTACAGCCTGTGTACCTGAAATCTGTAACACTAGGTGAGGGACTTACTTTGAGAGCTGGAACCCACCTGTCCTTGGCTCAGATCCCAGCAACCTATAGGCCATGTTGTCCTGTATTCCTGTTCCTCCCTTCCCAAGTAGGAACAGGGTCCAAGTGCCCAGTCTGCTGTGGCAGGGAAGGTGGGCATGGGCAGCAGATTGAGGAAAGCCATGCCGGACTGGGTCTCGGGATGCGGTGAAGCCTCTTAGAGCCTCCTTGTCGTCTTCTCTCAGTCCTCTGCCTTAGATCCTTGTATTTTGTGTGTGGGTATTAGATGCCCCGTGTGTCTTGTGTGGCCACAGTCAGGTGCTTCACATCACAGGAGCTATTTCCCCGTCCTGATGACTGTTTCTCATCTTCCAGCTCCTTGTGTGCCTCTGCCTCTGGGTAGCATTTGTGCAGACCCAAGCGCAAACTTGCTTTTGTTCTCACCCAGGTTACCTTTTCAGCCAAGGGCATCTGACCCGTGCTATTTGCTGCCGCGTGACCAGAGATGGGAAGGCATTTGAGGACGGACTACGCTACCCCTTTATTGTCAACCACCCCAAGGTGCTCTAACCTCATTCTGTGTGCTCTTGACACACACCTCCTCCTACAAAACTGCACTGTGGGAAGGGGGTCCCAAGAGCAAGCTGTTCCTTCCTCCCTTTGGGTGTCTGGGCTTAAACTCTCAGTGTGAAGTACATCTGAACCGTGGTGAAGTTAATGCAGCTCTCAAGGGGAGTGATCGGGGTCTCATACTCCTTACCCACGAGTCTTCATCCCTGCTCCCAAACTCTTGCTCTGGAAGGGTTCCCTTCTTCCATCACTCTCATGGGTTCCTAGGTTGGCCGAGTCAGTGTGTACGACTCCAAAAGGCAGTCTGGAAAGACCAAGGAGACAAGCGTCAACTGGTGCTTGGCCGACGGCTACGACCTAGAGATCCTGGATGGCACCAGAGGCACTGTGGATGGGTAAGGAGGTGGGATGGCACAGGAGAGGCCAGCCAGTCTTGCTGCCAGACTCCCCAGGGCAGGCCCCTGCCCGCTAGTCTCCAGAGTTAAGGGGTGTCCACCTTCTGCAAAATTCACACCTTAGCCCTCACCTCACCTGCTTCCAGATGAGTAACCAGTGCCTCTGTTTCCCTAGACCAGGAAAGGAGTTGTCTCGGGTGTCCAAGAAGAACATTTTCCTTCAGTTTAAGAAGCTCTGCTCCTTCCGTGCCCGCAGAGATCTACTGCAGCTCTCCTACGGTGAGGCCAAGAAAGCTGCCCGTGACTACGAATTAGCCAAGAACTACTTCAAGAAGAGCCTGCGGGACATGGGCTATGGGAATTGGATCAGCAAACCCCAGGAGGAAAAGAACTTTTATCTCTGTCCAGTACCCAATGACTGACACTGGGGCGTGCTTCTCATGGGGTCAGAGGGAGTTCATGACATTCCTCATCACATTGGGCCAGAGTTTGGGGGCTTTTTTTTTAAACCCCTCCCCAACCCCCCTTTTTTTAATGGAGGAACCATAATAGATGGTACCAAGACCTTTGGTTCCTATTTATCCTGCTTGCTTTGGGATTTTAAGGTGGGGTCTGGTCATGCCCCCCACTTCCCAAGCCAAGAGTCAGATTAAAGGAAGGGGGGCACTTTCCATTCCACGTGTAGCATAGCCAGTCCCTGATACCTGCAGCCTGCCCCTTGGAGTTTGGTTTTGTGGAGGTTTTTCATCTCCTTTTCCATTGCTACACTGACCTCTTGTGGATTTGATCACGTCCCCGTCAATTCTCTGTGAATCACGTCAGGGGACTAACCATCTCACCTCTGTAGATCTGTAGCCCCTGACCCTCCCTCCTACGATTCCTTCCTGTGGTGAGGTTTCTCCTTCCCCACCCCAGAGGTGAAGAGGTGGACATAAAGGGTTGGTGAAATGTTTACATGGGCAGGAGCTGAGAACTGCTCAGGGGTCGCAGGGCAACGGGAATGTGGTTGGGACAGGCAAACCCTGCCCAATGACAGGTCGTGCTGGCCAGCCAAGGAACTGCCCTTCCCGGGCAGCAGGGAAGTTGAGAACCAGATGTGGGACTGGAGAAGGTGCCCCAGGGGACCCACAGGGCACTGATCAGGGTGCACCAACATTCCTTGGAATGTAGCCACACTCTGTCTGCCCTTCCAGAAAGCATTCCCAGAATCTGGCTCTGTCCACGTGGGGTGTGGGGCCACAGACCCCAGCTATTTGTGAGAAGCTGAGGACAAGTCATGGAGGGTAGATCCTCTGTGCAGACTGAACAAGAGTAAATGCTAAGCATCATGATGGCGAGGTCACTGTCCATTTGGGACTTCTCTCACGGCGCTGTTAGCAGAAGTTGACAAAGCCTTGTGTAAAATTCATATTTCTAAAAGGCCAGAGGTGTTGATTCTGGACTGCATTACAGACTTGAGATACAAATATATTTTTCCATTAGTGAATGTACTTTCATTTTACCAGATGGCTTCAGAGGCTGGTTCACGGGCCGAGCACAAGGCACTGCGCTCTCCTGGCCTGCCCCACCCCTTTGGAAATCTTGATATATGTGTAGGGCGGTGTTGTAGGTGGCAGGGCAGGCTAGCCTCCCGCTCTGGGGTGAGCTCCTTGAACTCCTTCTCCCCCTAACATTGAATTGTGGGTATGTAGGAACCTTAGCCTCTGTATAGAGTCTGTCTCTAGCACAAGTCAGACAGCTAGACCCTGCTCCATTCTGCCCCACAGGGCCAAGCCCACACCTTTCCTCTGAATGGTGTGGCTCCCTCTGGGAATAGCTGTGTCAGTGGTTTCCTGCACTCCCTTGCTCACCCCCACCCCCCACCCACCCACCCCTGTGCTGCCTGGCTCTCCCCCCTCCCCCGGCCCACTGCCAACAGCAACCATATCATATTTGCACTTCGATTCTAATGGCTACTGTCTCCTCAACCTGTGATCCAACCTGACCAACACAAGAACCTATGTCTTAACAATACACTGGGGATGTCTTTGCACAACACCACATTATCCTATGGACCTGCTAGTGTCTGCGGTAGTGAGGGTCTGCCTGCAGATTTGCAAAGTAGCACCATGTCTGTGGAGTCAGCCGGAGGCATGTTACGTTCTGGCACCTGCATCTGAAGCAGAGCCATTGTGGCTTCTGGGCCTGGGCAGGTCAGGGACTTCTTTCCATTGATTGCTTCGGCCCCCTGGTCCTTCCTGAGCAGTCATTCGGCAGAGCTGATTCAGCAGCCTCCTCCTCAACCAGGCACACTGGGCTCTCCAGACCAGAGCCCTCTCTTACCCTCGAGATCCTGCCTAGCAAATGTTTGGTTCTGGGTTTCTCTGCAGATGGAGGAGAACAAGGCATCCCTCCATTCTGTGGGCCTGCTGAAGTGAATCACTGGCACCCACACCCTGCCTCCAGGCCCCACTGGGCAGAGGGGCAGAGCTTCCGCCATGTTTCTCTCTTTTTTGTGATCATTATTTTAAGAAGCAGGGCCTTCCTCCCACACCGTTTCTAATAATTTCTGTAGTTGATTTGTCTGAACTGTGGCTGTCTTGCATTCTTTGAATAATCACGTGTAAGAATTGTCAATGCTTGAAACTATTTCCTGTACTCAAGTTGAAGGGATTTTTGTTGGCCTTGGGGTTTTGACAGGGACCCCCAAGAGCGGAGTGGGGAAGAGCCCAGGCATAGCCTTGGCACTGTGATGGATACAGCCCCTTCCTGTGTCCCTTAACAAATGACAGTATACATTCCTCAGAAATAAAAACACAGAAGCAACAGGACTGTTAGAAAGTTTCATGTCTTGGTTGCTTGGGGGAGGTGAGAGTGGGGACAGAGAAACCTGCGACACTAAAATCTTTGGCCACAGCTGTTTCGGGGTCCCCACTGCTCCGACAGTCTGACTGGGTGGGAAGGTGGTGTGTCGATGGGTTGGGCTCCAGCTGCGTCCTCAGCGCTGTGCTCTCTGCTTCACACCACCCCTCCCCATCCAAGCCCACCATCTCATTCCCTGTTCACCGGGGCATATATAGGACTTCAAAGCCCCAAATGAAGAGATGGCACCGGGAACTATCACAAACCACTGTTCGTGCCGGCCTCACCTGGGTTTTCCTCGCCACAAGCGTTCAGCCTGTACTGTGCCATTTGGAAGGGAGTCACGGCTGGGAAGCAGGATGGGTTCGAGCACATCTTTTACCTTTGTGGATGGCTTCCAAAGTCTCCCTCTTCAATTTCAAGGAAACTCATCTCTTCCTACATAGTAACTTACTTCAGAATTCCTGGAAGACCCATCTTTGACCTTTCAATGGTAATGCCATACCTGAGGACATTGAGTGACAGCTCCTTCCTCATGCTTTAGACAGATGGGACAACTGAGGTCAGAAGAGCCAGCAACACGTTTTGGGGCACAACCTTAAGACCAGGACTTTATGTGGTATCGTTCACCACCTGCTTAAATTCAATCCTCAGGGAACAGCAGTTCTAAAGGCAGTTCAAGGTGACAGCGCCTGCTGTCCTGGAGTCTCAAATTCCTCTGTCCTCAGGCAGCCACTGGGCCTGCGTTTGAGGAAATGGGGTATTCCTGTCTCTGAGGACGTAACCAGCTTTGTGGGCTAGAAGTGTTGCTCAGGGTAGAGTGCTGTTTGGCATGCACAAGTGGATCCCTGGCCCCCAAATTTGAAGATAGACAGTTTTCTTAAAGCCTAAGGTAAAGGCCTAGAGAGGCTCACCCACAGTTTCACTCTGATCCCAGGATTTGGGCGTGGCTCATGCCTGAGCTGTAGGAGTCTGCCAGCTGAAACCTGGGTTTCTTAGAGCGTGAGCTGGAGAGGAAGGCCCAGCCTCCTGGCCATTTCTTTTGCATCTGATCAATGGAGCAGATGAGGAGGGCAGCGTGTGCTGCCACTCACCTTTCCTTTTGAAATAAATGCCTTCCCCTCCCTTGAGTGGGGGTTCCCCTGCATTCTCCCCTTCCGTAGCTGCCAATCTTGTCCGGAAGGGTTAGCTCCCTTCCCCAAAAACAGAACCAAGTAACAGACATATTTGGAAACAATTTTAAGAGGAATGAGTCCAGCTACAGGGGGTGGGGGTGGGGGTGAGTTTAGGGAGAGGGATGTGGACCATTGCAAATATCCCAGGAGTGGAGACGGGCGTGCCAAGGATGGCATGAAGATGAGTGGACTGAAGGCGGATGGGCAAGGTGTCCTCCGGTCCCCAAAGTTGTAGTCCTTTGGGAAGCACGTGACCAACACACTGACAGACTTCTCAGACATGATGGGATAATTATTACAAAGTGACACTTGTTCTGTCCAGTTGGGTTTGGTGAGTGGGAAGCTGGCCAGTGTAAGTGGGGCTCCACAGCCACTTCTGCCTGGAAGCAGAGGGGTGACAAGAATTATGACACTCTGCTTGGAGAACAATTCGGAGAAGACTCCAAAGGCCTTTGCTTTCCTCCCTAGGAGGCTTCCCAAAGGCCATGGTGACAGGCAGGGAGCAGCTACCAGGCCCTCTGAAGACATGCTCTGCTGCTGCTCCTGATCTCTCGGGAGCTTGCGTCCCTCAGGCAGGACTGTCAGAGGCCGAGTCCCAGAGGACAGGCACAGTCGCCAGTCCCCCATTGTCCTTGTTCCTTACAAGGACGTCCTTCCCTTCCCCTGTAATCTCCCCCCCTCCCCCCCAAAAAAAAGCCTTCTGAAGGGTTCTGTGTCCTGTTTGCTTTCGGCCTTCCGCACTTCTTGGCACCAGCTGCTCCAGACTTGTAGGTCTCCATAGTGGCAGGGAGCCTGTGGGCCATCTTCCAGGCAAAGGTGGACGCCAGCTTACTGGAACTTGGTCACTGATGGGAATCCCCAACTCCTTTCTTCATGGCCTCTCCCATGCCACCCTGTCCCAGGGACCTGATTCTCTCCAGAGTCAGCTCCATGGAGGAGGCAAGGAGCCTCCCAACTTCACCCAGGGTAGAGACAGAAGACCCAAAATGACAGGGGCCAAGTTTCCCCAAAGCCTCCCAGTATCCTTTAGGGTTCACACTACCCTGGCACATAATAGCCTCCTACCATCCCTCCCTCATTGTAGTCTTCCTCACCCGAAATGGGGGGGGGCAGCATTGCCCCAGGATCCTTCACCCACAGGTCCTTCCCACCCATCACAGTTCTGCCAATTTCTGTCCTCATGGTTCAAATGCTGAGAGCAGGTTCTAAGGTGGGCACTGTTTGCCTGATATGTTCAACAGGACATGGCCAGGAGTCCAACAAACTGCTCATTGACCTTTCCAGCCTTGGCTGGTGACTGATTGGGACAACAGCCAGTCATAGGAGGTAGAAAGTCAAGGGTGGCCAGAGCAGCAGCTGGTGGGGTCTCGAAGAGGCTGGAATGCCTGCACTGGTGCTGCCCTCCAGAGGGGCAACACCTTTCCAGGTGCTACTTAGAACTCTGGGGGCTGTTTATGATGTTGGGGTGCCTTCTCTGGGGCTGGAAGTTTGGGGGGTAGAGGGGAGAGGCCTAATACAGGCAGTTTCTTGTTCTAGTAAAAGGAGGTCCCTCTTGCCACCAAGCAGAGATGCCCCTGAGTCCATCCTACAACTGGGATGTACACTGAGGCACAGTTCCGATGTCTCTCACTTAGGTCCTTCAAGCAGTCTGTGGCCTTGGAGCAAGGAGGAGGGGGCTCGCTCACCTTCCAGGCCTGTTCCAGATCTGTAACATGGCTCCCACTGGAATCCAGCACTGTAAGAGTTCTGAGTCTATGAGCCTAGAACTCTCACCTAGCTCGTGACCTTCAGAGGTTCCCCTAACACCTTACCTTTAAAAGTGAGAGAAGCAGAGGGAAATCTGGGAGTGCAGAGAATTCTGCCCTGGCAGAAGGGAACCTGGAACTGGGCCCTGGAGCCCTCCAAAGCACAGGCTGTGGGACTAAGTTGAAGCTCCTCGGGAGACTGTGGGGCCAGCTGAAGCTCTCAGGAAGAGCCCCTAAACCTGCAAGTCCTCCCAGATCAGCTGCTGCCCGCTTCAGTGGGTGGGTGGGTGCCAATTACTGGCCACACTCCTCTGCTCCTGTCTCAGTTGTCCCTGTCAGCCTGGCGGGAGGATCTGAGCCCCCTCTTCCCACCTCCTCTTCTCCCATGATCGGAAGCCATAGAAAACTATCCCTTTCTTGGCCTTTTCTCCAGCACCCTTCCCAAGGCGGATGGCTCTGAGACCTCTGGCCTCTGCTTACCAGCCTTGGCTCCCACCATTAACACTACGGTCTGAATTAGCTCAGGAGGAGGAGGAGAACGGCTTGAACAGGAGGCAGCTGGTCCAGCCTCCAGGCTGGAGGGCTCTGTGTGAATGGAGGTGTGAAGCAGGCCTTCGGTGGAGCGGGACAGATCATCTTCCACCCAGTACTACTGAACCCCAGGGGTCACAGGGTGAGGAGCTGCAGAAGAGGCCTCACTTGGAGCTGGGAGTGGAGTGGTCAGGGTGGAGGAAGGTAGTGGCAGTGTAGTTCTGGAAGAGAGGCTGCAGGAACATGCCAATGGTGCCGAAGACACAGACAAAGACAAAAATCCAGAGGAAGAGGCGGTCGATCACCATGGCAACATATTTCCAGTCCTCCCTCACCTGGATGGAGGAAATGTAAGTGGCCCAGATATCAGTCTCATAATGTGGGATGGGATAGAAAAGTCCCTGCCACACAAGCACCCCACCCCTCTCCCTCAGCAAACCCAGTACAACCTTTCACAGTCCTGATCTTGCCTGCTGTAAAGCCTCTAGTGCCCCCACTGCCCCCAGGGCCCATCAGAACCTACCCGAAACAAACAGGAGCCTATTTTCTATTGCCTCCCACACTCCAAAATCCAGACTTAGTAAAAACTCCAATATGTCTTAGTTCTCTCACTTCCTTTAAAAAACAAACAAAACAAAACAAAAAAACCTGGCAAACTCCTACACATATTTCAAAATCCTAATCAAGTATAATCTTTATGAAGGCTTCCCCGGTCCTTTTGTTTCCTTGGCACTGGTTATATATTGCCATCATAGCGTTGAGACTATGCCATAGTGCATCGTATGTCTGGCCCTCCACCAAACTGCAAACTCCTACTTCAGAGGTACCCTGATAGCATCTGGGACAGTGTTCAGTAACTGGGAGTGGCCGCCCCTGAAGCTCTACTTCCATGATAGCTTGGGGAACCCCATCCAACAGCATCCCTCCTGCACAGAGGGCCAGAGGGTGCAAATGGAGCCCAGGTAGGAAAAAAATCAGTCAGAAAGCTAATAATGCGTGGGGCTTGAGAACCAACTACACGGTCACCAGAAGAGGCAGCCTCTCTTCTAGCCTGAGTCTGGCCTTTGCACGTGTTCCACTGGGGACCAGCCAGCTCATGAGATGGGGAGAAGGCAGCTGTGCACCTTCATGTAGCCGGCAGCCAGTCACTCATTGAAGTCACAGTTGGGCCTGCCACAGACCTAGCATCCTGCGAGGCACTGGGACACAACCGAGTAAAATAAACAGCCCTGTGGTTTTCAGGCTCCTCAGGGAGCCAGAGACAATACAGAAAAGATTATTTACTGAGAGGGAATGGAAGACTAGGATGGACAAACAGAAGAAAGACAGGAGCAGAGTGTGGCCTGGAAACGCCTCTTCCAGGAGATGGTACTTAGAGCAAGATCCGATGGGCATGAGGGAAGCCCTGTTTCAAAGTCACACTGACCTTGACATGGTCCAGCAAAGCCAACAGAGCCCTACTCACCTGGCTGGTCCCCTCTAAACTGTTCATCTCGTGAAAGGCAAATCTGAGGGAGGACACTAATGAGGCTTGGGAACTAAACACAACTCGGGGTCTTAGGGCTAAGGACGGTGACCCTAAGAAAGAGGTTACCAGAACAACTGGAAGAGCCTGAGTGTGCACTTTACAGTGGTAAAGGTGTTGATGCTGTCTCCAGAATTCGATCTTTGAACCCAGTCATGGTTATCTTGTCGGTTGTTGGTTGCAGTGGGAACTCACATGCTAACCGTGAACTCTACCACTGAGCCACAGCACCAGCCCTGAAGCTGAGTCATGCAAGAGTATCCCTGTTCTTAAGGAGAGACACACTGAAGTGTTTGCAATAAAAGATTATAGATAGGTTTGCTCTTAAGAGCAAAAATTAATAACTAATAGGTTTTTGTCTTTCGGAAAAAGAAGGTTTAATATCAGCTTGATGAGATTTCGAGTCGCCATGGAAACAGACCTGGGCAAGTCTATGGGAAGTTTTCTAGATTAGATTAATTGAGGCAGGCAGCACTATTCCATGGGTTAGGGTCCCAGACAGAAAAAAAAGAACAAAAGAGAAAAAGATTAATTGAGCATCAGCGTTCAGCTCTCCCTGCTTCCCGGCTGCACGTGCAGCGGGACCAGCTGCTCCATGCTCCTGCTCCTACCTTCCCTGCCTTGGGCTGGAACCTCAGCCTGTAAGCCAAAGTGAACCTTGCTTCCCTGAAGCTGCTTTTGTCTGGCATTTCACCATAGCAATGAGAAAGTAACAAATACAAAGGTTGTTCCAGATGGAGGAACCCAGATGCAAAGGCTCGGGGGCGGGAGAGAGCTTGGCTTGCTTGAGACAACTGAGTGAAAAGCCAGTGACCCAGGCAAAGGGCAGTGTCAGGAGCCGAGGAGGAGCGTGGGTTATTTAACTGCAGCATAGGAAGCTGATCTAGGCAGGCAATTAGGATAGTCTCCTCCGGTCCACACAAGAGCTGAAGTCGAAGGCAGCCCAAGGACCAGGGTGTTAGGGTAAAGCGGGGATCATTTTAGAGGTGGTGCTCAGAGGACAAGACTTTTGATCACTGCAATGATGGAGAGAGAGAGAGAGAGAGAGAGAGAGAGAGAGAGAGAGAGAGAGAAGGATCCCCCAGGCTTCAGTGTGAACCACTTAGACTATGGTGATGCCACTTACTACAAGATGGAGAGACTGGGGCAAGTAAGGGTCAGGGTGGGGGTGTAGATCAAGCACTCAATCCCTCTGAGGCATCCAAGTAGGTCACTGCACCCTCAGCACCTGGCTTGAAATGTAGGCTAGATGATGGACTGCAGAAGGGGTGGAGGCCGGTGATCCAGCAGCAGCTGAGCCCTGCACCCTAGTGTCTCCCAGTTAGCCTCAGCGGCCTCCTCTCCAGTCTCAGCCCCTCTGCCTTCCTCTGAGCTATGAAATGCTCCCTGTCTCATGCTCTCCTGCTGCTGTCCAGAGGAAAAGATGTCTGAACCCAGTTCCCACCCAAAACCACAGGGCCTGCCCTTTCTCCTTCCCCAGCAGGAATGGCAGAGTCCCAGAGGAAATCTTGCTGGTCACTATAGTAACAGCTGAGCCTTGGCCTAGAACCAACCAGGTACCTGAACACTGATCTCAGGGAAGGCCAGATGGCACCCAAAATGGAGGGCAGGATGTTAACCCATCGCACCTTCCCCCAACTCCTGGATTAGTCTCAAGGAATTTCCTTCTGGGAAGACTGGGGGGAAAAAACCAACCAGAAGCCGTATGTGCAGAAAGAGGGTGAGATGACTCTAGGGAGCCCAGGCCTCTACCCACACCATCTCTATAAATATTTCATTAGACTCTTTTCAAGGCCCAGGACAGTAGAAGTGGGATATTGATTTTTAAATTCTGCTCTCTCCACTGGAATCAACCCCATGGAACCTCTAAACTTCCCTTTGCCTGACTGTGGTCGTCACTGTCCTCAATTTTGCCTGCTCTGTGGCCCACAAGGACTCACCTCCATTTGCACTAAGAGCAACACATTAACAACTTGGATGTGGTCATGTGAGCTACAGGGAAAATCTCGGTGACACCCTCAAACCCGAAAGAACTTCTCCCTGCCATAAGGTTCCTGGCTACCTCCCTCACACTGAAGATGTCTGAGCGCATGCATCTCACACCCTGAGTTCTGTTCCTCGCAGGAACCACAAGGTCATCCTTCTGGTACAGACTCCAAAGTAGGCAAGTCAACCTGCTAGCCTACCCCGAGAGTCCACCTCACTTATGTTTTCTCTCCCCTGTACCCTTGCTTTGAGACTCTAAGCAATACCTGCTCCCCACACACAGGGGCTCCTAGGATGCCTAGCTCACACTCCATACTCACACTCTGGTCGTCATCCTCACTTCGCATATGGTCTGCAATGAAGCGTACGCCGTCCACTGCCTCCCGGAGGCCGCAGCTGCAAGGCCCCACCGAGCGCCCTGGACCAGCTGCAGATGCGGGCTCAGCCCTGAAGGCTCCAGTCAAGCCCTGCACTGATGCAGGGTTGACAAAGCAGGTGCATGGGTCAGCGGCAGGGCCCTCACGGAAGAAGAGCGCGCCTGCCCCCTCGCGCTCCCGCTGGCGCCTCCGCAGGCGCAGGCGCTGCCGTGCACAGCGGTAGCGTGGCTGCTGCAGGAAGAGCAGGGTGGGCAGCTTCTCCAGGAAGACCACTTTGACCCAGGGAGCCATGGTGTGCGTGGTGGGCGAGCGGTGGTGCACGTTGAGCACACACACGCTAGTGACAATGGAGAAGGTGACTAGCACCATGGTGAACATGAGGTACTTTCCCACCAGCGGTACGTCAAGGGAGGTGGGAGGCACAATCTTGGAGATGAGCAGCAGGAATACCGTAAGCGCTAGCAGCACAGAGATGCAAAGTGTCATCTTCTCCCCGCAGTCCGAGGGCAGGTAGAAGACCAGGATGGCCAGCGAGGTGATGAGGACGCAGGGGATGATGAGGTTGATGGTGTAGAAGAGTGGCTTGCGCCGAATGATGAAGTCATAGGTGATATCCACGTAGGTGGAATCATCTGGGTTCTCGTTGCGCCGGCCTGGCAGCGCGATGATGTCCCACTCCCCACTGGGTGTGAAGTCGTCCAGGCTGGCCACATCACTTTTGAGCACCAGGTCGATCTCCGTGCGGTCATAGGTCCATGAGCGGAACTTCATGGTGCAGTTCTGCTGGTCAAAGGGGAAGTGCTTCACCTCAATCTTGCATGCACTCTTGTAGATGGCAGGCGGTAGCCAAAAGATGCTGCCATCATAGGAGACCACCGCATTGGAATAGAAGGATACCTCGTACATGCCGTCAGCACTGCCAAGGAATGGGGCAGTCAGCCCTGGCTTGAGGGTCTCCATCCCACTCATCAACCCAGCAAGGAGGACCCAGGCTGTGAATGACCATCTCATACAAAGATATTGTGCAGGAATGGAGCTGGGGGTGGGGATATGCATGGGCTGGTGGTAAGAACAGGTGTCCTATTCAGGAGGCATGTATATCCCTTCAGTGGTAGAAGAGAATGGTCGGGGGTGGGATGCATCTGCTACTTGTCCCACGTTGTGTAAACTGACTAGTCCTTATGAGGGTAGAGGTGGGGGAAGCCAGAGAGGCCAGAGCAAGGAGTCCCAAGCAATGAAAGGATATGGGCACAGTCCCATCATTAAGGGAGTTTTGTGCCGTAAAGGTAAGAAGACTCATTGAAGGGAACAGAACAGAATCTAGCTGAAATAAGGCCCATAAGTTCTTTGTCACCACCCAGGCTTCCAGAAGTGCCCATTCTTTTTTTTTTTTTTTTTTTTTTTTTTTGGTTTTTTTTGAGACAGGGTTTCTCTGTGTAGCTTTGCGCCTTTCCTGGAACTCGCTTTGGAGACCAGGCTGGCCTCGAACTCACAGAGATCCACCTGGCTCTGCCTCCCAAGTGCTGGGATTAAAGGCGTGCACCACCACCGCCCGGCCCAGAAGTGCCCATTCTTGAATCAACTTAGGCATTGACAACTGTCAATCTTCCCTCTCCCTACCCCAGTTCCAAATACTGGCAATCTAAGTAGCTGGAAGGGGCTGGTCAAGGTCCAAGTCACGATGGGCTCACACTGCATCCCACTAGCTGGGTCTGTCTGTGAGGATAATGCCTGTCTACAACCTGCCAGGGAAAAGCCATCTCCTTCTCACAACAGCACATGCCTCTTACATCCCCACCCCATGATTTCATCCTCTGCCAAGCACACCTCTGGTCTTCCATAACCTTCTTATCACTCCAGGGTCACCTACTTGTTGTATAGGACCACATCTGGGAGCCAGATGTGTTTGGAAGGGAGCCGGACTTTCTTCATATTGTCGAACTCCTCGGGCTTCCAGGTGAGGCGATAATCTTCCCACTCCTGGGAAGGGAGAGAGTAAAGCAACACCAACCTCCAGCCCCAGAGGGGGCCCAGAGTCAAAGAAAGGGACAAGAGAACTCACATGGCCTGTGGCAAACTTGAAAAAGTCAGCCTTCTCTCCACAGTGACTTCTCTGCCCAGACATGGGTCATGTGATGATGCTTCTTTGTTTAATTTGCACATCTGAGCCAGGATATTAGACTTTACATTTTACAGATGTGAAAATGACTCTTGGGAGCATTTAACATTTAAAGTCACAGAGTCAAGCAGGTATGGTAGTGAATACCTTTAATTTCAGTACTAGTGAGGCAGAGACAGGCAGACATCTCTGTGAGTTCAAGACCACCCTGATCCATATAGTGAGTTCTAGGTCAGCCAGGGCTACACAGGGAGACCAGATCCTAAATTAATTAATTACAGTGCTGGTGAGTGGCCCAATCAAGGATTCAAATCCAACTATTCAGGACTCCTCTCTGAAGGAAATGAAGAGAGGAGGGGGGGGGGTGTGGGTAGGAAAGAGCACTGACCTGGGTCAGCCAGACATTGGTGGTCATGATCTGCTCCCGCTCATGCTGCAGGGAAACAGAGCAGCTGCTGAAAAGGCCCCCCAGTCCTCAGACCTTCCACCACCCTCCTAAGGTCCCCACCACCGCCACCCCAGAAGCGCCTCAGGAGCAAACTCAGATGCTAACCCTTTCTGGCTGGGCTGGCTTCTGTGGCTGGACAAAGAGTTCGAGACCCACACTCACCACACTGATGAGCTGGGCCAGTGACACCATGAGCTGGACAGTGACCTGATCGGAGCCATTAGTGGCTGGCCGGATCAGCTTGTTGTAGCGGGAGGGATCCAGGAGATGCTCCACTAGCCGCTCCTCTGTGTCAGTACCCAAAACCCCTGGGCAAGGCAAGGCAGTAAGTGGGTAAACAGAAGGGCTCACAAAAGCCCACCTACCCCGGTAGTGGGGTAATAGATCAATTAGCTCAGTCTGCAAGTCACAGCCTCTTACAACCCTGTGCTTAAGGATATTGCAAAATGTTCAATTATGCCTTGGGACCACAGAAGCCCCAGGTTGACTTTCATAGGTAAGTCCCTCTCTGAGACCATATCACGAGTCCAAACAGCTCCAGAGAGACACCTCTAGACTAACCACCCACTCTGAAAAGATTAATTGGGACTTGTTTTCCCCAAAAGGTCTCAGATGGACAAGCCTCTGAGGCTTGCTTGAGGTCTCTGCCTCCATGGTTTGGAGCAGAATAGCGGGGTTGCCTGATCTGGGGGTGCAGGCACCCACCCCCTGTGCTGTCATGCAGGTGTGGAAAGTTCATTCTATTGCGCATTGCCTTGTGCTGGCCCCTCTCCTCATGCCTCCCCTTCTGTGACTCTCCACAAGCACACCATCTGCGCACCCCACAGAGCACCGCCCTCGCCCTCAGTCTGGCATTTTCTCTCTTCCAAGTCTCCTGTCCCATCCTACAAGAGATGGGAAGTCACTGGTGTCCCCTTCCCGCCTTGTCCCTCCCTGTAGGGTGACCCAAATCAGGACCCCAATGAGGAGGATGGGAAATACTGGGGAGCCGGGAGGAAGGCGTTAACCGGGGTCATAAAAAGTCAAATGCTATCAAGCCTCTTGTCATCCCAGGATCCTCTCCTTCCTTCCTCTTTGTGCTCACTTGCTTCTTCCCTGCAACGGTCAGGTTTCCACCTCTCCGTGGCCTCTCGCCTGCGCCTGCGCCTGGGTCTTCCAGACGCTCCCTGCCGACCCTGGAGTCTCTCCCCATCCCCCAGCAGGCTCCTGCACCTCTAGAGAACCCCTCGTTTCGCCTTTGTCCTTGCAGGGGTGACAGAACTTGGCATCCTGAGCCACTAGCTGAGGCAGGGGAGCCTGGCCGGCCACTTCTTACCTGAACACAGCCAGAGAAGGCCGAAGCTGAGCAGCAGCGCCATAGAGCTGGAGCGCCGGGCCATGCCGCCAGCATAGCGCGCTGCCGGCCTGACACTAGGGCTGCGGGCGGAGCGCTGTCCGTGGTGCTGAAGCAGCGCAGCCGCCTGCTTCCGGGTGGGGCTCTGGGCCTCCAGGGCTGAACGGCTCCTGGAACGCTAGGAGGACCCGGCCTCTCACCGTCCGGGCTGCTCTTCCAGGGAACGCAACTGGGACTGAGAGGGGAGGAGTCTCCGCCCCGGAGGCGGAAGCGCGGGATCCCAAGGAAAAAAAGGTGGTCCCTGGGTGGGATGCTCTTTGGCTGGGCCTGCCTAGGTCGGGTATGCGTGAGGAGAAAGCGACCCACTGCTCGGTGGACGAGTTCAAATGCCCCGAAGCTGGGGCAGGACTTGGAGAGGTTTGAGCAGGGCTGGGGGGGAGCAAGAGTGGGAGGGACACAAGTAGGTCAGGGCGGAGTGAGTTGGGGGCGTTTCTGGGGTTCCCGTCCTCCCTTATATTCTTACCCAAACTAATGATTCTGCTTTTCAGGAAAGCTAAGGATGCGCAGAGAATACGCGTGTTAGGAACAAAGAGGCAGGGAACAGGGAGCTGACTAGTTTTAAAAAGCAAATTGCTTTGGAGTTTTGGAATAGAGTCCTTTCACCGGTCCCTTTCTCTGCTCCCTAAGCTCCAATAAGGCCAAGATCCTGCCATCCTTCGGGGGGAATCTAAGGTAGAAAGGTCTAGACCTCCTGAAAAGAAGGTAGCCTTGAAGGTTCTGACATATGGATAAGCAGCCAGTATCAATGGTCCCTTCCACTCCAGTTGTCTTCTGTGTTCTGTGGAGATCAGGGGACCACTTCACAGAGAAAGAATGAAGCTAACACAAAGGAGAGCAGAGATGGGAGAGGTGTCAAAACTCAATGACATCTTTGATCTTGAAAGCCCTGAACTTTTAGCTATGGAGCCCATAAAGGACCCCTTTTTTCTTAGTGGATCAGTGGTCACTTTCAACCAAAAAGATTCCGGTCTAAAGCAGACTTGGTAGACAGCAAGGCTTCTTTCATTTCATCAATGCCTGCTTCCCTAATCTCATCTGGGCACATTGTCCTCAGCTCCACACTCAGCTATTAGCAATGTCTGTAAGATCCTTGAATATTTAACCCCTCCCAGCCCTTAGCCTTTTAAACATATAGTTCCCTCCAGCTCTTTTATCACCCCATCCCCCCTAACTACCTTCTACTTAAACTTGAGTGTTTGCAGGAATTTCAGTTCCTGGGGGAAGCTGTGACTGACCAAGGATTGAGTTAGGCACCTTGTTAGACTCTAGAATATCCTTCTATGGCAGCCACTGCCTTTCCAACTAGAGTATGAACTAGCATAGGGCCTGGCTTAAGATGAAGGCTTAACAGGAAAGTGGTACTGCATGACAGACATATTTTAGTGTATATGGGAAATTCCTGTCTATAAGTGCAAGCAGAAGCAACCTAATTAACAAGTGCTCGGATTTTGGGAGTCCAAGGGTTAGTGACGCAGCTTGGTGAGAGTGCTCACCTAGTGTGTACAAAGCCTTCAATTCAGTCCCCAGCATGGGAAGAAAAAGGTGGGGAAGAGTTTGAAGGGGAAAGACAGCAAAGGACAGGAGAAGCAGCAAGATGATGGGGGGCACCCATAGTGTATGTGGAAGTGGGTTTAGATCTATGCCACAGGTGCAGGGCATGTGCAGGGTCTATGCATGTGTAATAATTTCTTCAGGAAGAGATCTGAACACCAAGAAGTGAAGCCTAGAGAGAAGCAGGGTGTGCAGTCACACCACTTGGGGAAAGGCTCAAGAGTAGATCTGTCTTCAACAATTTAGATCAACATGTATTGAGTATGTCCTGTGAGCCCAGAATTGTTTGGAGCTGAGGAGGCAATGATCAAAGACTTGGTTCCAGTTATTAAAGAGCCCACACTGGCAGCAGATTACTAGCCATGGTGATGACTGCTCTCGGAAAGACACAGAGGACTGTGGAATCTGGGAACAGGGAAGGCAACAGCCTGCATGGACTAGGTAGGACATAAATGGAAGTGGAGATGAATCATAGGGCAAGGCTAGCTTACAGCTCTTCCACACTCCTGAGACAGCATGTCCAGTGGGTGCAGCATGGTTGAGGAAGGCTGGCAATGTCTTCGGTTGCTAAACTTCCTAGAGTGCTTACACTTTTCTTGATGACAGACTGAAGGCCACTCACCTTTTAGATCACAGATTGGGGGACCATTCATTGCCTTCTAGATGACAGACTTCTAGATCACTTGCCTTCTACATGACAGGCTGGGGGGGGGGGGGCATACACCTCGTCTAAAGCCTGTGGTTGTTCTTGCCAGTCCAGGTAGCCTGTATACCTTGGTCTTCAAGTTATCTTCTCAAAACTTCAGTTTTGGCTTCAAGTTTACTTCTAGCTTGGTAAGGATGAGTCCACTGAGATAACCACCCAGTGACTGGGGAGAGTGGGACAGCCTCCCTCCTCATGTGTACCCACATGCCTTCTATACCGTCCCCCGGGAAGAGAGGTTACAGGAGAGATACAGAACCATGTAGGGTTGGGACAAACACAGAAATGTCAACCCTGACACAACAGGGTTAGTAAGCAGAGTTCCAGTGCCCTGGATTGCAAGGAATATTTTCTTTTGAAAATATCAAAGTTAATATATTTCCTTTAAAGTGATTTACATTTTATAATCTTGTTGCCAGAGTAATACTTGTGTTCATAAAGACCAACTTAAAAAATACAAATTAGCAAAACAAAGAGGATTGAGAATCAAACCTCTAAAGGGAGAGACAACCACTTAGCAAAACTATGTATCTACAATTATTTAGGTATAACATTCACACAGAGAAGTAGAGTCAGTGTATCTGGATACATCATCATAACAGAAACACCCAGATTTTGTTTAAAGGAACAATTACCAATAACCAGATGCTTCTCCCAGTCATTATCCCTCCTCGTTGAGGACAGAGACCCCAGTCAACACTACTTCAAGTTCTGGAAGTGGGGCTGGAGCAATGTCTCAGTAGTTAAGAGCACTGGCTGCTCTTCCAGAGGACTCCAGTTTGATTCCTAGCACCCACATGACAGCTCACAACCACCTGTAACTCCAGTTTCAGGGGATGCAATGCCTTCTTCTGGCCTCCACAGACATTGCACCCATTGGTATACACACACACACACCCCCTGTGGATCCACATGGAGATAAGCACTCATACACACAAAATGAAAATATTAAAAAATAAAATTCTGGAACTAGTTATTGGGAATGATTACACAATAGTATGAATGCAAATGGTAAATTTTATGTTATATGTATCTTATCATTATTTGTTTTTGAGAGTTTCATAAATCCCAGGCTGTTCTCAAACTCATAACAGAGCTGAGGCTGGCCTTGAACTCCTGCTCCTGCTGACTCTACCTACCAAGTGTTGAGATTCCAGGCACGTACCACCACACCCATCCAGTTTTTTTAAGATGACTAAAAGGAAAAGAAAAAAAAAAAGAGCTGCCATTCTAATAGCACAGGTCAGCTTTTCCTGTTAGACTTTATATAAATGGAATAATAACCTTTTGTATGTGTGTTTTTGGCATTATGTTAGTGAGAATCATAGCTGCATTGTGTGACTACACTATCATTTACCCATCCACTCTTCCTAGACATTTGTTTCCTATTTAGGACTGCTGTGGACATTCATGTCATATTTTAGGTATACAAATATATACATAAGACGTACATTTTGCTTATCTTGCAAAGAGGAGCAAAGAGTGCTTGCTATACCTTTGCAGTCATCCTTTCTCATTCACTATCCCATTCTCCATAAGGGTAAGTATTCTTTGATCCTATTATTTATTGGTGGTATATACTAGGGGTTTTACATGCTAAGCAAGTCCTCTACTACTGAGATACCCCTCCAACGTGGGAGCCCATTCTCGGGTTCCTCGTGGCTTTACCCAGCAGGTCCTCATAGAGAATGATTAGACCACGGGCCTGAGTGCAGGTGTCTGAGATGGTCTGCACTTGGCTGTGCTGGGGGAGGAGGTCTTTTGCTCCACCCCTTGACGTCTCTATAAAAACCCTGGGGCAGAGACAGCCGGGGCCGTTGGAAAAGGTTCCAGGTCCTCTCGAGGCTATCCTTTATTTTCTATCTGTTTATCTCCGCAAGATTCTCCGCAATAAATCATTCATTCTATCTAATATTTCCTGCTGCTCACACTCAAGAAAACTCTGGGGAGCTGTGGGGTTGGTGGGTAAACGCCCCACACTCCAATTCCTTTTTCTTTTTCTTTTTTTTTTTTAAAGACAGGGTCTGTGTAGCCCAGGCTGGCATCAAATTCATGATCCTCCTGTCTCAGCATCCTGAGTGCTGGATCCCTTCCTTTGTCTTAGAACTTAGGCCTTCCTTCCCAAGCTCCTTCCCCTTCAGAACTAAGTCTTGGTTTGGTTTCCCATAAAGCCCAGTTCTGTTAGTGCTGCTACTGATACTTACTTCCATAGTTTCTTAAGGCTTTGCTGACCTTTTGATCTTCCTTCAACTTGCCACATCCTTCAAGACCTTTGTGTGCCATTGTGATGGCTAAGGAAACTCCATTCTGCACCAGGTATCTCCTTCGTATCTATTAGCCTCTGCCCTAAATTTCTGAAAGATGAGCTCCTAGCAATCTGCACCCTTCCCAGAATGATGTAACTGCTGTGATGATTAACAGCTTGTTCTGGCTTCTGTAAACCTGCTTATCACTGTATACAGGGGAGTAAGGTACCTCCTTCATGGCTGTGAACAGGGGGAAGAGAGACAGCTCCTCACATAGCTGAGGGGAGTGAAGCAGTTTCTTAAACAACTGCAAATCCCACAGCAACGAGGTAATTGTGGTCTCCACCTTTAAAAACCCTTCCCTTAGCCCCTTCTGGGTAGCATGTCTTCAATTTGGCTCTTAAGTCTGTTGCCCTGCTAGCAGTTTTAATAAATCTAGCTAACTACAATTTGAATTGAGTCTGTGGTCTTTTCCCAGTGGTCTCAAACTCCGTAATGCCATCTCTTCTGCTTGGGGCTTGTCTCTTGCTTCATCCACTGTACTCACTCTTCAGAAGTTACTGTCACTTCTTCAGAACACCTTTCCAGACCTCCAAGTCTTCTCCTTTGAGGTACTCCTACAACTTCAATTCAGTACTTGAATGTCTGTCTATGCATTAACTGTCTGGTTTTCTAAGTTTTTATTTATTGTTGGGGGTGAGGCAAAGGCCATGGCATGGTGTGTGAAGATTGGGGAGCAGTTTGTGGAGTTTGTACTCTTCTACCTTTGTGAGTACCCAGGAGTAAACTCAAGGCACTAGGCTTGTGTGACATCTGGCTGGCCCAAATGTCTGCTCTGCCAGGCTGAACATAAACGTGAGAATGTAAGAACTGG